AGTTGAGAGTTCTAATGTCTCCGTCCGCTTCCGTATTTGTCGTTTAGTAGAATGAATAAGAGCGGGCAACACTGTTTAAAATAAGAAGTATCAGTTATATATTTCTTGAATGTTGGTCGTGTTTATTGTGTACCACTTCAGGTACCTTAGGAAACACTTGTATTATTATTATGGATTGGTTCCAAAAACACTTTCATCAAAAATGTTTTCAATCGTTTTAAAAATATTTCTAATCATACACATTGTGTACTCACAACATGTACGTTGAACCAAACAAATGATGTCGTGCATAAAAAACAAAAGCTCAACATATTTTTCAATTATGATGTCCGATTTAACATCCAAGAATATCAAATACGAATTTAATTTAATGGGTGAACAACTTAGAATCAATGAACAATGATATGCTAATTGTTAATGCCTCTGACGGAAGCACTTCACCAATAAAACATGTTAACTCTATGGTTTGCGAGTAAATACAAATGCAGGGCTTAATTAAGCTGGTATCAAGTCCTATTCATTAATATTTTTTTTGAAATGAAATAAAAAATCACAAGGAAAGTCATGTACATTCATTGCACCTGGTAAACCGATCGTGTTTATCGTGTTAATATCGTTTTCGCGTCATATTTGTTACCTTAATAAATATGTCGTGTCAAATTTATTATCATAATGGATTCTTAACATGTGACCCAATAACGATCCTATTCATTAACGAGTCATGCCAAAAGTTGGCATGCATATTGGAAATGATATTTTATCCAGTTCATAACGAGTAATTTGATAAACGATCCGACTCGTTAACGGCTTCTTAATAGACAACATGATAATGACTTAACCTATTAACAGATTAACCTAAAATAAATTTTTTTTTTGTATCGTTTCATTTCGAGTTACGGTTACAAGAATTTTTTTTACCTTACGGAAAGTGAAGCATAATATGATAAGCTAAAAATGATATAAAAAAAGTGGAATTGGTCCGTGAACTTTTCAACTAGAAAGCTGTCCATAAAACACTAAAATAAAGAGAGTGGCCTACCCAAATCCAATCATCTGTTTCTGATAGAAGACAAGTCATAATATTTTATCAGACTTGACAGGTATTGTAAAGTGAACTTTATAATTTATGTTTTAATTTTTAAGATCCGGTTTCTCTGCCCTTTCAGTTCTCATATACTTTCATTTTATTTTATTTTATGCGGTTACGGTTAAGAGATGTTAATATTTTTTATTAATTTTTTATAAAGATAATAAGATAAAAAATAATAATGATATAAATGTTAATGTACCTTAATCGTGATCGTACCAATAAGAAGAGATGGAAATGTACGAAAAGAGAACAGAGAAGCCAGGTCCTAATTTTTAATCCAACAGTCAGGCGAACACGATTAATTAACATATTGAATAATATTGGTATTGGGTTGATTGGGAGTCCGGGTTATTTCTGTTCCCAAAATTGTCAGAAATTTTGAACTAGAATTGACGGGACCCACCACCAAAATATAATTTTTTATTTATTTATAATATTTTTATTGGGTCATGATGAACATTTTACCTCATTCTATTTGAGAGTTTTCCGTCCTACATAAAGTGCAACATACAGATTTCAAGGCATATTGCATCTCTCATTGAAGTTGCTCTACTGTCATAAGGAATAAAAAGTAAGGAGTTGTTGGTGGGAGATGCTCTCATAGATGTAGGGTGCTGTTATTGACGTATTTCCATACTTATTTTTACTTTTCACACGATTTTTATTATTTTTTTTCACAGTAGTTGATTTATTATATCAAACTTAGTATCATTAGATTCATTACATATCGTCTTTGCATTTATGTGAGTCGGACCTAAAAATTCCTCAAGTCAACTGATCAGATGCAAAGTAAAATCGATGTTCAAAAATTCACTTTAGGTGTCATATAACAACAAATACTTAAAAAAAAAAAGTTCAAAGAGCCTATACATTTCTTTTATTAGGAGCTGTACTATACATGAAGTGCCTTAAATTTGGGACAAGAATTAGCTTCCCGGTTTTGGAACGGGATTCTCTTTTTCTGGCACTCTTTGGAGATAGAACAAAAAATTAGTGTCTAATTTAGCAGCTGGAACTCCAATATTATGGTAAAGGATCCTTGCCGGATCTTTTTCCTCGGGATCTAAGTAATTCTGTGATTGTGTTTGTTTATCGTATATTGTGCGGTCAAAAATCATTTGAAACTTAAAATTTAAAATTAAATATAAACAGTAACTAACAAAAACTGATCGCATGATGTACGATAAACAGTTACGATTACGTAATTTCCCGAATCTTGATCCTTTTCCCAATATTATATGCAAAACTCATCAGAATGTCTGCTTTGGTTTTGGCGTTCATGATTAATCAGACGGTCAGGATTGGTCTGCAAAATCAGGAGGTCAGAGAAGTCAGGGTACAAGAACATGAATAATTGACTGCACGTGTGGGAGGTTGGAGGATCAATGAGCAGGTAAACTTCGCAACAAAACATGATTATAATCGTGTTTCATTTGGGATTTGGTTTTAATTAATTTTTAATTGTGATTAATAATTGGGAAGGTGGGAAGTTTGGTGGGGAAAGTGGGGTGCATTGGATACCCTGGGACTTTGACGGTGGCTTCACACCACTGAGTTGCAAATTGAATGATGCAACCACTACTGTTGCTGACTCATCACTCATACGGTCTTGTTTGTTCACATTCACCTTACATGTAGGCCAAGGAACCGGATCTCTTCCGGATCCAAAGAATTTGAACACATTCATCAAATAATTCAAGTCATTGAAATTTGATTCAACGACTACAATTATTATAACTTTTAGAAGACTCCCTGTTTGTAGATGTTGAATCAAATTTCAACAACCCGAATCATTTGATGAGTGGGCTCAATTCCTTTGGTCCGGAAGGGATCCGGTTCCGTGTTTAAAATACCCACAAAATTAACTGATATGGAAAGCGGGAGAGAAAGGGTGAAATGCAAACGTCACCCAATATAGAAGATATATATAAAATCAATGAATATTAACGATATTACTAATCCATTATAAAATTTTGCATAAACTCATTGTTGATTTGAACTTTTGAATTTTTTCTTTTTTTTTGAGAAATTTTTCTCTAACTAAATCTGAATGAGTTGGCACATTCACCTTGTTGCAAATTTTTCATAATTTTCGTCGAAGACAACCGATATCGATATCAATATCTTTGTAAATTTGCACATCGATATTTTGCACACTACATGTAGGGAACAATTTTATACAACTTTAAATTCGCATGAATACCAAAAACTGCTGTCGACACACAATTTATGTTATCCAACTAATATTTATTAACATTGCCAGTATTACAATCTACTGTTATAGGATTATGCTTCTGTATTTATATGATGTCTTACATTTGAGTCGCATAAATATTTAGTGTGATATTAAATTATTAATGACCTGACTCCTACCTCCATATCATTGTTTCAAAGAACACTAATATTTATAAATAAAATCATAAAATTTCCTTTTTTTTTTTTGAGAAATAATTTGTAGAGATTATCAAGTACGACTGTCGGTATGCCCGAGGGGCAAGACGCCTGCAAGGAGACCCCTCCATGCACATCGATCTCATACGAACTCATTTTGGTGGACCAAATACGTCGGGTTAATGTTGTGTTTGTCTTGGACAAGAGAGAAACATCGGTAGAATTAGTCTATTAAATATATGGCGACGTGGCTTGCGTATAACGTGATTACGGTGTCTCTATAACTAAAAGAAGCTCTTCATGATCACGAGGTTGACAATACCCAAAAATGTTTCTCTTCAAATGGAACCGAAGACGGAAATAAAGGGCTCAACTCGATAACGATCCCATTGCAATCAATGATTCACAAGTGACCTTTTCTGTTAAGTAATGCCACGTGGGAGCTCACCAATTTGCCCAAATGTGAAGATTAGGGATCCAGATTAGGACACTTGGGGAGTTTTGTTTTAATCTTGGTCGCCCGTGAAACAAGCGTGTTTCATGTCTGCCTTCTCAGAAATCACAGTTTTCTCATGTATATCCATTGCTTTGTTTCGTTACGTACGTAAGGCCTTCATACTTTTCCAATTCGGCAACAAGTGGCAACCTCTGGAAAGTTGTCTAATCTAACGCTGCTTCTTCTTCTTCTTCCACACAGATACATGTTACATAGAGAGAGAGAGAGAGAGAGAGAGAGAGAGAGAGAGAGATTACAGATAGACACTAGAGAAGAGGTGCCGGAACCTTGTAGACATGTGGTTTGGGATACAAAAATTCCGGCTTATAAAATAATCTAGAGCACCATAAAATATTTGGCCATATACATAAAAAAAAAAAAAACTCACTGTAGGACACAAAAAATCGTGACGTGATTACATGTACTCTTTGTGGCGTTATTGCCGCGCATAGCTGCAGTGCAGAACGTATTTATACATCACACTACAATGAACATTTATATTTTCAGTCCCAAACATATTGATTGGAATTCTCTGAGTATAACACTTAGATACTCATTAACGAGTTCTTAATACACACACTTTCTGAAAAAAATGCCACGTTTTTTTTTTAAACCCTCGAAAAATTAAATACCGTGTCTTAATTATTTTTTAATAAAACATGTTAAAATACCATTGGACAAATAAGTACTCACTAGTGAGTTGCAAAACATCACAAATTCCTAGTCCACCATTAATTTAAGGAAGTTTTAACGAAATATTTTTTATACTGTTCACTTTTAACGAAAAGCCACATTTTTACTTTTTCTGGTACCATTCACTACACCTTTATTTATTTTTTTTCATTAAAACTAAAAAAAAATTTGAACTTTTCGTTAGTTTTCTTTTATTTGAACACGTACATTAATAACATCGTACGACTGTAAGACCGTCAACACGCTTAAATGTTTCATAATTCGAGATTTTAACCTTGGAAAACTAGTAATAAAGAGAGAGTAGTTTAAAACCAACATACAAAAAACCTCTCCCAACAATCGAATGGCAAGTGAAAGATACCCGTTAATAAGCTTTAAATACAACTGGGAAAACAAAGACCAATGCTAAGCAGTGGGAAAAGCAGATTTCCCTTGACCATGAGCTGCAAATGAGTAACATGTTCGTATCGATCCCGAAAGTGTACAACCTCTCGAGCTTCGAGACCTACATCTCATGAATGCAAATCAGTAATCCTATACAAAAAAGAAGGCGAGTATCAAAATGTATGACCAGGAAGAGACGGCCATCTTGACTCCAACCATTATTGTGTTTTTTTTCTTTTCCGGGGAATTGGAAGGTGTGGTCCAATTATGTGAACTGACGGACCTTCAGGGTCCAAGGACGACATCATTGGCCATCGGCAACTTTCCGCTTTGGATTCAAGGGAGTACAGTTCTGACTTCTTTCCTATCTGCTCCGAATGACTGCAATTAAACAGAAAAACTTTCATCATTAGAAGGGGACGGTAACCAGTTCAGATAAGTAGAGATTCGATGTGAGATTTTAGCTGCAACTGGGGCAAGTAACATTCATTTACAACATAGTGAAAGGCGTCGTAAGTAAAACATGGTCACGCAACCTAATCAACTGAAAATGACTACATGTATCTCTGTTACGTCTCTTTTTTTCCTTTTAATGCTTCAGACATTTTTATCAGTCTTACAAATCATAACCTCAACTTACTGAAAATTTATCACAGAGAGAGAGAGAGAGAGAGAGAGAGAGAGAGAGCTTATACCAGAATCGGGACCCAACTCGACCAATAACTATTTATCCTTAACACATCGACCATCAAATTAGCATAATGATTTCTGTATGTAAGAAATTTTATCTTTACAAGGAAAAAGGTTGCGAATGTTTTAAGTTCTTTATGAAATTATGATTATGGTTCCAAGTTTGTACATTTACAGAATGTAAGCTATACAGCTCCAATGATCATGATCTCACTTTCACGTAAACAGATGATGAACAATAACTCAACGTTTTGCACTGATTCTATGATATAGATGGTCGAAATTCTTCTATACCCAAGGAAAACTAAAACCAAACACTTTAGAAAACTATAACTAAGCGCAAATTCAGTGAAACATAATCACACAAGTATTGGTTAACAACTTAGCATCAGATACTCATACAAAGTATTGGTTAACAACTTAGCATCAGTAACAAGCTTTTGTTTACTACCCATAAAGATACAACAATAACAACAAAGAAAATGAATATTGTGTGCTTATCTGTGTGTGAAATACAAGGGATTAAATATTACCTCAGTTCCATAGCCTTTCGCATAGATATTTGTGAAGAGTTCAGAGGGCTCTAGCATTGGGCTTTCCTGGAAAAGGGACAACAGACATCAAAAACAGTGTGAGAGAACGATATCTAGTAAAAATAAAAAATGACCGCACGCGTTTGAAAAAAATACAAAATAAACTAATAAAATTAAATGACAACAGAAAGTTTCTTACTTTGGCTTGAGCAATGGCTTCATCAACTTCTTTTCTTACTTCCTTCTCAATATCCTAAAAGAAGAGTAAAGAAAGGGATAAATACATATATATGTATATGTATATATATAGTTTTCTCATAGTCCTTTATGGCATTCAAGCAGGGATCAATCCCCCAACAGCAAGATGAAAGACATGAATGGGACCATTAAACTAAAATGTGCCCTCAATAGAAATGACGGTAAATTTTATATATAAGTGAGTCGAGTTGAATCATACCTTTAGCTCCTTCTCAGTAGCTAGATCATGAGCAAATATCAGCTTTCTTATTCTATCAATTGGATCACGCTCCTAGAAATCACATCACAATGTAAAAATATAAAAGACACTTAAAAAATTGTGGCATATAATCTCCAAAATATAAAAAGGGGAAAAGGTTTAGGTACGCATATCAAACCTGTCTTATGCCAGAAATCTCATCACGTGTGCGGTAGGTGCTACCAGGATCAGACATAGAATGACCATGGTACCTGTAAGTGTCCATTTCAAGAATCTGACCACCAGCATCAGGAAGATTTGTCAGGCAAAAAGTATCACGGAGAGAAACAACAAATTCAACAATTATAACACTTGAAATAGTTCCATGAGTTCCATGAACGTATGAATAACAAGTATGCAAGTAAAAGCCTGAAACGCTATCGTACGACTTCATATATCACACAGAACCAGACCATTTCAAAAGGACCAATTAATTCCTAAGGTTCAAAGTTCAATCTAAACAAAACCCTGGGTCTGAATGAAGGTTACAATTCAACAGTGAACCACATAAACTTCAATTTACAAAAAGGAAGAATCTAATACGTGTACCAAACATTTTGTTTCATGCCCTTTTTCATTCCCAGAGCATTGTATCATTCTTTACCCCACAAATGGTGTACAAATGCTGGAAAGGCAACTCTACAAGTAGAATTGAATTGCTGTATACCCAAGTTTATACTAGAATCCTAAAGGGACATTTCCCATACATTTACTGTCACAACTGACACAACTGACCCTGGACTAGAAGCTTAGACATGATTAATTCATAGACTACATGCTTGATGACTCATTGTAGCTTCAATCTAATATACGATTAACATGCTCGGGCTGCTGTAGCACAAATTGCATGCATTTGCAATCACAACGGAATTAGTGGTTTTCCCACAAAAAAAAAATTCGTTTGCCATACCTACTACCAATCGAGTTCTGCTTTTATATGTGGGATTACGAACTAAAACAATAGAAAAAATATTTCGATTGCCCTAACAGTATAGCAATTCATGTCGCCATAGTTTACACAAGAACTTCAAAACACATGTCAAAACAACAAATAAATAACTCACAATGGGTCCATTTTTCAGAGCATGCTCCTTTGCAAACTTGCATGCCTGCTTTACGGCAAACACATCCATACCGTCCACCTGAAGATTGGCCACAAACCATGAGCAATATGAGCAGAAATTAATACTAGAAACAATAATCTGATTATCATCTACAATCGTCCACCCATGTAATTCGCACGATAGACTCAATTTGGTAGAACTTTACAACTACATGCTTTACCAACCACCAAACCATCATTTCTTTAAGCAGCTAAAAATTCAAAGCAAATGCACTAGCAATAAGTTAATAACCCATAAAATTCAACAGTTCAGTAAACAAAAATCTATCCGACCTTCAAGCCGGGAGCATAATCACCGCGCTTGTAATATGCGGGACTCTTCGCCGCTCTCCACTCGGCGGTACCCATTCCATCTGTATCAAAGCTCACACCGAAAGCATTCAGTATATGTAAATTGACAGTTTCCATCAAATTAATCTTCGGTTTATGAAGAATCATTTCTACAATTACTTACAGTGATTATTCTCGCAGACCAAAATTGCAGGGAGATCCCAAAGCGCAGAAATGTTTAGCGCCTCGAACAACTGCCCCTGATTGGCCGCACCGTCACCATAGAGAGCAAACGTCACCGTTTCGTCCTTGGAGTACTTCTGCCCAAAAGCCAATCCGCATCCCAGAGGAATCTGAGCGCCCACAATGCCGTGGCCGCCATAGAACCCGGCGTCCTTCTTGTAGAAATGCATCGACCCACCTTTCCCTTTGGAGCAGCCATCCTTGCGCCCCATGAGCTCCGAGAAAACTTGCAGGAGGGTCCCACCGCGGCCGAGGAAGGTGCAGTGGTCACGGTACGCGGTGATGATGCAGTCCTTTTTGGTAATTGCGGCCTCCATGCCGATGGCGACGGCCTCCTGGCCGTCGTACAGGTGGCAAAACCCACGGATCAGCTTGGCCTTGTAGAGCGAATCGGCGGCGATCTCCATCCGGCGCATCAACGCCATGTCGCGGAAGAACGTCATAAGCTCCTTGGGAGTGGTGTCGAGCGTGCGCGACGGCGGCTCGCAGTTGTGGGAGGTGAAGGGGATGGACGTCTCGATTGTGAGGGTAGTGGAGTCATCGGCGGCGGATGAGATCGGACGGCGGAGAGATGGGGTGAGGGATAAGGCGGAGGTGAGGGGCCTCAGGAGACTGGAGCCGGAGGAGGAAGCTAGGCGCGATAGAGCCATCTCTGACCGTTGAATCGTTCCGGCTGTGTGGGACGACGGGAGCTTGGAGACTGGTCGAGAGTGGGGGAGTTCGGTTGCGATTTGCGAAGTACGACAGGGAATCGAAAATATCTTATTACTGAAAAATAAAAGCTGTCGTTTTTTTGGTGGGCGGAGTGATTTCTTTGACTATATAATTTCAGACTTTACTTTAATTTATTTTTATTATTCCATCTATAGTTGTACGAATTATGCGTTACTCTATTTTTCTTCTTATTGTGTTTTTTATTTAATTTGCGGAATTAAGTATAATATTTTTATATTATATGATAGTCAAATATAATTTATACAAATATATTTATTTAATATAATCATTATCTGGTCATCAAGATAATTATTGACTTAAATACATGTAAGAAGTGTACTCAAATTTTTAATTTGAACTAAAAGCTACAGATCATTTGATAACTACTTTTTTTTTCCATCAAAATTTGTTTGGTAATTAATTTTATTTTTTAATTTTTCACAAAAAAAAAAAAAAAACTAAAAACTAAAAACCAAAAAGTGAACAAGTGAAAAACTCAAGACTAATTTTTAAAAACTCAATAATTTTTAGTTTTTGGTTTTTAATTTTTTTAACTGAAAATAGATACCAAATAAGATTTTAATTTTAATTATTAAAAAAAAGAAAAAATTTGAAAACAAAAGGTGATCAAACTGCTCTTAAATTTGTGCACATGTTTTGAGCATCAACTAAAATTTATGTACTGGTGTGGAGTAATGCCAAATGGAGTTGAGAAATGTTAAGGGACTCTTCGTGGACTTTTTGTGTAATATTCCACATCGTCTAGAGGAGTGGATCATGTAAGTCTTATATGTATATTCTCATCTCTACCTAGCACGAGGCCTTTTGGGAGCTTACTGGCTTTGGGTTCCATGGGAACTCTGAAGTTAAGCGAGTAGGGCGTGACAGCACTTCCATGATGGGTGACCTACTGAGAAGTTATCGTGTGAGTTCCCAGAAACAAAATCGTGAGGGTGTGGTAGGGGCCCAAAGCGGACAATATCGTGCTACGGCGAAGTCGAGCCGAAGATGTGGTAGGTGCTCGGGCCAAGATGTGACAATTTGGTATCAAAGTCAATTCCTGCCGAAAGTGTGCTGACAAGGATGTCGGGCCCTTAAGGAGGGTGGATTGTAACATCCCACATCGCCCATGGGGTGGATCATGTAAGCCTTATATGTATATTCTCATCTCTACCTAGCACAAGGCCTTTTGGGAGCTCACTGGCTTTGGGTTCCATGGGAACTCCAAAGTTAAGCGAGTAGCGCGCGATGTCACTTCCATGATGGGTGGCCCACTGGAAAGTTCTCATGTGAGTTCCCAGAAACAAAATTGTGAGGGTGTGGTAGGAGCCCAAAGCGGACAATGTCGTACTACGACAGAGTCAAGCCCAGGATGTGGTAGGGGCCCAGGCGGGGATGTGATATTTTGCCACCTCATAGTTTTTAACTCAATTTACCTCACAATTTACCGCCAATTTATTTACCAATATTATAAAATATTATATCAAAAAATAAGTGTCAGAGAGTTTATGAAGTTTCTCCATACCATTTCTCTATAGAGTTTGGTGGAAGTAATCAAAGATGTGCCACATGTGGTTTGGTGGGTGCATCTTATAAAGTATAAAATAGTTAAAAAAAAAAAAAAAGCTCCACTTGAGTCTTTAGGTCGAAGGGTATAAAATAGTATAGCTTAGACATTTTTTATACAATAATATTAGGAGTGGAGGTTGGACTAAAAGAAATAATTTTCACACTTTTTATTTTTAATTTTTACATATACATCTCTATTTTTATCATCAAATTGATAAATCAAAAGATAACGTTCATAATTAAACAAGAGTACATGACATGCTAAAATGAGTATTGTATTTATCATATTCTTTAAACTAATTCAAACCTATAGTCAGCAATAATTTAGTATTCAATTCATATTTTTTGGGAATAAAAAGCATTATATGCTTATTTTGGCAAAAAAAAAAAAAAAAATTATATGCTTATAATCACTTGCAACAGAAAATTTAAAAAAAGCTTACGAGTTAATAGTTATAGAACTATTTTCTAAATAAGCACTTATTAAAACACTTTGGATTAGATTGTTAACAAAAATTTCAATGTGTTCACAATGCTAGAAGTACTTATGAAGCTAAATAATTTGTACAGAAACAGTCTCAGACGAGTCTTAATTATAACTAAAAAAACTATACATGCATCGACAGATTCCGAATCTAAATATGGATTTCAACAAAATGATTACTTCTCAAAGCGAATGGAGGTTGATTTGAGCCCAAATTCGTTGGCCCATCTTGAAATGTCAGTGGTACGTATCCCCTACTTTGAACTTCCCGGTCACACTAACGAACAGACGGTCTAAATCAACGGTACTTGAACAAAAAATGGCATACGGAACCGAAGCGACGTCGTGTGGTGGTTGTCCTACTCGAAAAAATATCCCGCAATTAAAACGATAAGCCAAATCACACTCAACTGAGAGGGTGGTTTGCCCAAAAATCTCTCTCCCGCCATGGACACTCTCTGTTTCCTCTCAACCTCACACGCCTTCACGCGCCTCCTTCCTCTCAGCCGCGCTTCCCATCCCCTCCTCCGCCACCCCACCAAAACCCTAGGGTTTTGCTCCCCCAAACCACCTCCCGCACACTCTCCGACCTCACCGCGATTCCGAGTCACTTTCCAGTGGCCGAGCTCCGCCTTCCCCGCCAAATCTCAGCTCTACGATGCCGATGAAGAAGAGGAGGAAGACGAGTACGAAGAGGAGGAGGAGGACGACGAGGACGTTGCCGCGGATGAGTACGACGACGTTACTGGGGATATGTCGGACGGACTCGAGCAGAGCGACGACGAAATTGAGAGTTCGGTGGCTGACGCAGAGCCGTCGACTCGGCCGGAGGAGTTCAAGTGGCAGAGAGTGGAGAAGCTCTGCGGCGAAGTCAAGGTTTTCGGCGAGGAAATGATAGATGACCACGAGCTCGCTTCTATCTACGATTTCCGAATCGATAAGTTTCAGGTGGATTTAAATTTCGAATCACACATTTGAAGATTTCATGTTTCATATGAATTTTGGAATGAATTTTTTTGAATAATTTTGGATAGAGATTAGCGATACAAGCGTTCTTGAGAGGTTCGTCGGTGGTGGTATCGGCGCCGACGAGCAGTGGAAAGACTTTGATAGCGGAAGCTGCCGCCGTCGCAACGGTGGCTAGGCGGAGGAGGTTGTTCTACACGACTCCACTTAAGGCCTTGTCCAATCAGAAGTTTCGAGAATTTCGGTACGAGAGATTGAGAGTAATATAATTGCTTTGTGACTTTGTGGTTTCACAATGTAGGTGATGCACTTTTGATATGTTGAATCGAATTAGCTTATGCGTTCTTGTAATTTCAGTGAGACTTTCGGCGATGACAATGTCGGCCTTCTCACCGGAGATTCTGCGGTAAACAAAGATGCTCAGGTTTTAGTTATGACCACTGAGATCTTGCGCAACATGTTGTATCAGAGGTACATTTTGTATCTTGCACAATACCTTTTTACGCATTCATGATTTCAACTTCGTATTTCAACGTCCGAGTGGATTCTTGGGATTAAGGATGGGATTTCATTTAAGCTTATTGATGCAGTGTGGGAATGGCTTCTTCTGGGGACGGACTTTTCCACGTAGATGTCATTGTCTTGGATGAAGTTCATTATCTGAGTGACATGTATCGGGGTACAGTGTGGGAAGAAATCGTAAGTGCAGTTTGTTGTCAAGATACTCCTTTTACTGCCAGTAATGCTGCTGTAGTGTTTAGTCATAGAATCTTATCATATATTTCAGGTTATATATTGCCCGAAAAAAGTTCAACTCATATGTTTGTCAGCAACAGTCGCAAACCCAGATGAATTGGCTGGTTGGATTGGTCAGGTATTTTGGTCCTTGGTTGATTTGATGCTCACATTGACTGAAAATATCTTACATTGCCGTCCCCCTGCTTTGTTTTTACAATTTCTTTTACATTTTGATTGGAGACATATACGGGGTTCAATTTTATACTCCTTTCATCCTACTTGTAGATTCATGGTAAAACTGAATTGGTAACTTCATCCAAGCGTCCAGTACCATTGACTTGGCATTTCTCGACAAAGACTTCTTTGTTGCATCTTCTTGACAAGACGGGAAAACACATGAATAGGTACTTTGTGTACATTCTTTTCATTTACAAAGTAAATTCAAGGTTCGTTATTTTTTATTTATCAGTGTTCAGCTTGAGAAGGGATGCCTTTCCATTTTAATTTATTTTTTCATGAGTAGATTGGACTAACTGCTTTAAGGTGCTGTTTTTCGCTTGGGGTTTCTTATGAGATCCCCTTTCGCTTCTTTAAGATATTTAGAGTTATTCCGTGATGCAATTTTTTGAAGGTTTAACTTGCATTGCCAGTTAGGAATATGCTTATGTACCAATATTATGTTTTGGTTATCACTTATACTCAATAACTGGATTCAATCTTATTCTTGTGTTATTCGCTCTGAATTTCTTCCTTGCATCTCTTTCCTTTGAGCATATGATGGACATCTAATAATATAAACATTTTCTTTAAAATGGAACAGGAGGTTGTCAGTCGATTATCTTCAACTCAATGCTTCAGGAACAAAATCTTACAAAGACGATGGGTCTAGAAGGAGGGGCTCAAGAAGACGTGGAAGTGAGATGAGTTATGATGACAGTAATGGTAACATGTCTAGACGACCACTGTCAAAGAATGACATCAACTTAATACACCGTTCGCAAGTATGATTCATGCATTAATCTTGTGAGACCCAGAACAAGTTTCCTTTTCTTTTCCTAGGGACACGGTGATTTGATCCTGCTCACTATTTTCTATTTTCCTTTTAGGTACCTCAAATTACAGATACATTATGGCAACTTAAGACTCGGGATATGCTTCCAGCAATATGGTTTATTTTTAGTAGGAAAGGATGTGATGCTGCTGTTCAGTATGTTCAAGATATCACGCTCTTGGATGACTGTGAGAAGAGTGAGGTTGAATTAGCCTTGAAGAGGTTCCGCATCAAGTATCCTGATGCTATCAGGGAGACTGCGGTGAAAGGTTTACTGCATGGGGTTGCTGCACATCATGCTGGCTGTCTACCTTTATGGAAATCATTCATAGAAGAGCTGTTTCAGCGGGGGCTTGTTAAGGTCGTCTTCGCAACAGAAACACTTGCTGCAGGAATCAATATGCCTGCTAGGACAGCCATTATTGCATCCCTCAGCAAAAGAGGTGACACTGGACGTGTCCAATTAAGTCCAAACGAACTGTTTCAAATGGCTGGGCGTGCTGGACGTAGAGGCATTGATGAAAAGGGTCATGTAGTGCTTGTTCAAAGTCCTTATGAAGGCGCTGAAGCAGGTTGCAAGATTGTTTTTGCTGGACTTGAACCTTTGGTTTCGCAGTTTACAGCTTCATATGGAATGGTGCTGAATCTGCTTGCTGGTGCAAAAGTTACTCATAGATCAAATGAACCAGATGACACCGAAGCCTCCCTATCAGGGCGAACTTTGGAAGAAGCTAGAAAGTTAGTTGAGCAAAGTTTCGGAAACTATGTTGGCAGCAATGTTATGATTGCTGCAAAAGAGGAGCTTACTAGAATTCAGAAAGAGATTGAGACACTGTCTTCAGAGATTAGCGATGAAGCCATTGATAGAAGGAGTAGGAAGATATTATCTGGACCCGCATATAAGGAGATTGCAGATCTACAAGAGGAATTAAGAGCAGAGAAACGACTGAGGACTGAACTTCGAAGAAGAATGGAATCTCAAAAAATGTCTTCACTACGACCCTTGTTAGAGGAGTTTGAAAACGGACAATTACCCTTTTTGTGCCTGCAGTATAAGGATTCCGAAGGAGTTCAACAGTCTATCCCGGCTGTTTATTTGGGGAAAGTTGACGCAGTCAACAGTTCAAAGCTCAAGCACTTGGTTTCTGTTGATGATTCATTTGCACTAAATGCAGTAGCCTCGGAGTTTGAACCAAATGTGGTTTTTGAACCATCCTATTATGTGGCTCTTGGTTCAGATAATTCCTGGTATTTGTTTACAGAAAAGTGGATTAAAACAGTTTATAAGACGGGTTTCCCAAATGTTGCTTTAGCACTAGGAGATGCTTTGCCTCGGGAAATTATGAGCACGCTTCTGGATAAGACAGAGCTCAAGTGGGAGAAGCTTGCCGAGTCTGAACTTGGCGGTTTTTGGAACATGGAAGGATCTCTTGAGACATGGTCTTGGAGTTTGAATGTTCCAGTCTTGAATAGTCTTTCTGAACATGACGAGCTTTTGCATAAGTCAGAAGCATACAATGAAGCAGTAGAACGTTACAAAGATCAAAGAAACAAGGTTTCACGTCTGAAGAAGAAGATCTCGCGTACGCAAGGCTTCAGAGAATACAAGAAAATTGTTGACATGGCCAAGTTTACGGAGGAAAAGATTAAACGATTAAAGAGTAGAGCAAGGCGTTTGACTAATCGAATTGAGCAAATTGAACCCTCCGGTTGGAAGGAGTTCTTGCAGATCAGCAATGTCATACACGAGACTCGAGCATTGGATATCAATACCCATGTCATATTTCCACTTGGTGTAACAGCAGCTGCCATTCGGGGAGAAAACGAACTCTGGCTTGCCATGGTTCTTCGAAACAAAATCTTAATAGGTTTGAAGCCCCCAGAACTTGCTGCCGTCTGCGCAAGTTTAGTATCCGAAGGGATCAAAGTTCGTCCTTGGAAGAACAACAGCTACATATTCGAACCTTCGAGTAAAGTAGTCGACGTGGTCAGCTTCTTGGATGATCAGAGAAGCTCTTTTCTTGAGCTTCAAGAAAAACATGGGGTAAATAAACCTTGCTATTTGGACACACAGTTTTCAGGTATGGTTGAAGCCTGGGTTTCTGGGTTGACTTGGAGGGAAATCATGATGGACTGCGCGATGGACGAGGGTGATTTAGCCCGCCTCCTACGGCGAACCATCGATCTGCTGGCGCAAATTCCCAAGTTGCCGGATATTGATCCGCTACTGCAGAGTAATGCAAAGACGGCGTCAAATATTATGGACCGTCCTCCAATTAGTGAGCTGGCTGGATGAAGAACATTATGTTTATAACAGAATGAATCTTGTAAACCAAACTGATGACATTGTATCAGACCTTCCCATTCTTTTTCATCTGAAAAAATGAAATACAATACAAAAACATTAAGAGCTCGTTTGGTACGTTAGATTGGACTGAAACGGATTACTCCTTTTCTTCAAGGCACGTTGAGGTGAGGAAAAAAAAATTATGACCAACTAGAAGATAGAAAGATGGATACTGAAAACTTATCCGTTTCAATCATCTGTATTAGAAGGGATGAATTTTTCCACATGGGAGTGATTTCAATTTATTTCTCCTCCCAGTGTAATATATCGTTGCTTAAAAAGCAAATCCTCTTCTAATCCCCTCTAAATTAGGGAATTATTCATTGCAAAGGGCCGCTCAGGAGTTTGTATTTGTTCCAAATTAGAGAATTACCCTAAATAGTTGGAAGTCAAAATGTTTTTAACTAACGTAAGGATAAATAATACAACTGGTTCTATCACGACCGTTAATTGTCTACAGTCGCAAATTCCTGGATCACTATTTGACAATGCCTTTTGTCGACATTTTTCCCCGGACAATCTCCGCCCCGCCCCAGTGAATGTAGTCGGGTGGACAGATCGACTATCGCATGGTCGAGTGTTAAGGTAGGACCTTCAGCAAGGTTTAAATCAAACACCGACATAGACCTTAAACTAAAGACGAAATGATTATCAAACTCTCCCAGACAAACTTTTAAACATATTGAAAGCGTTTATCAACACCTCGCTTGGATAAACACACAAAAATGGAAAATTTACGATTGAATTTCAGCAAGTAAATATCGGGCAGGCTGGTTGGCCGGCCTTCTAAAATAAGACAAATCGGCCAGGCAATTTTAACGACCGGTGACACACTAACTGTCCTGTAAAATCAATTAGATCTTCCGATACGCCATTACAAAAAATTTAACAAAAAATATTGATCAATAAAATGAATCTCCAGTTTACAACACAAATTACCTCTATTTACACGAATGCGGCTCGAAGTGCCAACTCAAAAGTATACGACTTTCGATCCACATCCCCCCTTCCTCCCTCATCAATTCTTTATTAGGTTGGAGAGACAGGTCTATGAGAATACAAAGGTAATTCCACAAAAAGTTTTTCGTTCACAGCGACTCAAATTTTTCGGGTTTCCAGCGCCACTGTATGTAATGCTTGCAAAATGCTACTGGAGAAACAAATGTAAACAGTGTCACAAATAGTTAATCAGGGTTCTCTCCTTTAACGATAGAAGTATCCAATATCGCAATTAAAAAACCGAGCACATACCATATTTACTTGATGGTCAAAACATGACATATCATGAGCCAGAAAGCAACCGCTGAAATCGCTCTACTCTACTAGAACCGTTAGAAGACCTAGCCAGGTTATGGCATGAACTGTTCTGGTGCAAACTTTTCCTTTTCTTCTTTGTACGAAACAGAAAGTCTTCTGTATCTAAAACGTATGAGACCTACACACACAAATTTTAATTGATTGACAGATGCAGACACCCAGAAATGCAGACCTAATCATAAAATGGAAACGCACAGAGTGGCTCAATTTAATTCAAAACTTACCGTCACAACGTATTAAAAATGTAACTACCTAATTATAGACAGAGGAGTGAATTAAGTACCTTGGATGATTGGTAAGCGATCTTACACTCCAGACCATTAGCGACTTTTAGTCCTTCCATGGCCTCACAGATAGCAGACAAATCATCGCTGCCATACTTACGTTTGTTCCTGCAAAAATAAGCAAACAATTTATAGTCACAACAACTCAACTTAAAAAACTCCATACTCCTAAATATAGCTAACATACCTCATCAAGAAGATCCCAGACTTCTCCTTTTTGTCAGGAAGAACTGAAAGGAATTCATCATGCAGATACGCAGAAAAATTAGGGTCCATAGAAACAGCAGTCATTTCAGGCTTATCATGCCCAAAATCCATTAGCTGAATAGACACCCGGGTTGGAGAGGATGCCTGCAACAAAGAAAGTAGTGATAATTAATTTAAGGAGTTGAAATTCTACAATTGTAGACAGTATTTACTTAGAATGTCACATAAAAGACCTACACAATCAATGCGGTAAATGTTCTCATCATGAAGAAGAACGCGAGCATTTTCGTGATAAACCACATCTACAAATCTTCCTGGTTTTCTTGATTTTTCAAATGCATAAAGCTGGACGAGTTTGTTGTCCATCTCTTCACTGGCGACTGTTTGGAGCTAGAAAAACAGGGAAATGAAGCAAAACTTCTGGGGTAAAAAAAGGAAGATGGGAAAGAAACTTGAAGAAGGAAGAAAACGTATATGGGCATCTACCTGCTTAACGAGTTTGTAGATCAGCTTGTCTAATGTGAATAGAAGATATGACTGTGTCCCAATGATGGCTCGACAATCATCTTCAAATTTCGTATTGTCAGAAGAACCGTCAAGTAAATTGTAAAGTGCATTCATGAATCTGTACCATAAAATATGGAGTTAGGATATATATACTCACTTAGTTGTGAACAAGCAAGGAGACCAAAGCAAAACTACCTAGCATAAGAGTCTGTAGGGCTCGTTTCATTTGAAGAAGCCCGCCACTTCCTCTCAGCAGATGATGAGTTAATCTTTGCTGATTGTATTCTCTCATATAATGTCTGTCAAATAAGTGAAACAGTTGGGATACACGATATCAACATCTACTAAACTCAAAGAGACAGAGACACAAAACTGATATTATGACCAGAGTACTTGCATATAATCCATTAGACTAGATATGGACGGTTGAGATACATACAACCCACTATTATCCATATATGATCTAGTGGCTGAACTACAAGTACTTAAGTCCTTATTCACCAGTACACACGTACACTTTTGTATACTTGTCTTTAAATGAACCTTACTTGGTGAAGCCTGAATAGCACATAGAAAGAATCATTTCCATAAAATATCTGAGAGTCCTTCTCCTTGTCATGTAAAGCTGGAGGAACATATTTTGCAAGAGGCTTCACAGTCGAGAGAAAATGTTCTGAAAGAGGCAAAGATATTCCATCTCCTTCAACATCATGGGCATCAGCCATCCCTTCAGCTTCACCTTCACTCTCGGCCTTAGTATCGTGCTCATCATTGTCCCCATCTTCCTCATGCTCTTCACGAGAACATTCCTCTCCGTCACCAGATTCACTTCCAGAAACATCACCATTCTCAGAGGCATTCTCACTATCCTCAGATGACCTCGGAGCACTTTCCTCACCTTCATCATCAGCATCAGCTTCATTTTCTCCACCTGTCTCTCCACCGCATATTTCTTCTTCCCCATGTCTGGCTTGATATTGCCTGCTGACAGTACCGTCCTTTGGTTTTTGAACAGCCTCTGAACCAGCTTCTCTATAATTTGCAAAATTATCCTCCTCGAAATCTCCATTTGGAGATATCTCGCCTTCTTCTCTATCAATCTTGAAGTGTCTAGCAGACTCTTCAAGATATCTGAGACCTACGGCGCCTTCCGCTACTGCTCCATTTGAGGAAATACCTGGTCTTGTAGAATCACCACCCTATGACATCAATAGGAACACAATTATCTTCAGCACACATTTACTGTGACAATACTATGAGAAATAATATCCAGGACCACAAAGACAACTAGCAAACAGTTTGTCAGCTGTAGCTAGTCTAAAGGCCATGATTTGATGAGTAGTGAATACAATCAAGGAATTGACTAACAAAAGCTGATATGTACCAACAACCCATAATGCCCATATCAACCAGGGTTCTCAAAACATCAAAGTATTACCACAGCGTCAACCATACCTCTGATGAAGGTAACTCCAGCCCAACATCAACAGTGCCATTACCAGGTCTGGACGGAGTAGGACTATGCCCTTGTAACCAACAAAAAAAAGGATTTCAGAAATCTAGTTGCAATTTCAGAAAGAAAAAAGAAATAGTAAGAAATAAATAAATAACAAAGCAATATGTCCAAGTAATACGGATAAAAACTTTCAGTAGTTTATAACATTCTACAAACCTGATGAGTGTTCCAAATTAGTTCTTCCATTACTTTGCTCCAACGCAGCGGCAAGTGATACATTAGAATTCACTAATCGTTCATTGAAGTTGTCTTGTTTGCTAACTCCAGACGTTTCCTCAGCTGGAGATGTATTACTCTGCACTTTACCTTGTCGCGAGGTATTGTACAATGTATCCCCTTCACGTGCAGCATGATCCATGTTGAGACAACTTTCTTCTTTGACCCCATTAGCCCCATTTACTGTCCAAGTCCTGCAAGAGCTTGATTGTTCAGGTTGAATGCTTTCATCTCCATTTCTTGATGAATTCAACTGTTTGGAATTCGTCAGAGTAGCATCACCATCAGGACTACCATCACTCTCTCCAGGACTCACAGAACCACTCTTTACGGCAAGATTTTTTACTTTCACACCATCTTCAGTATCCTCTGCACCTTGAGGCCGCGTAGGAACACCAAGTATTGGTTCAAGAAAAGTTGTCCATATCTTCATAACTTTATCCAATTGCTCGGTTGTGCAAACTTCTCCACAAGAATATTTGACGAGTTGATACAGATCTTCATGGATTTCTGGGTCAGGGTACTCAAATTCCAAATTCGGGATAATAGGTCGTCTATTTCCAGCAGCAATAGCAAGAAGAACATCATCTTCCTTCCGCTTCTTCTCACTAATCTCTTTAATCTCTGCCAACAAGGCTGCAAAAGTTTGTTCTCATCAATGAGAGGAAAGTGGAAAGCAATAAATTCCATAAGTGGAAAGAGCAATTGCAAAAGAATGGAAGAATACAGAATCTCAATATTCTAAACTAAAATGCAAGAGAAAGCCTGATTTAATGTAAATTTATAGCATTACCTGCCCAATAAAATGATTAACAGTGTAGATCTCAATCTCATAGGTTTGGCACTCAATTAATACACAGTTATTACTATTATCATGGCTATAACCGCCATTATTAATTTTGTAAAACTAAAAACTCTCGGTCAAAGAAAAAAAGGAAATAGAAGATGGGATTTCAATTTTTAAATTACCTTTTGTGCTTAAGCTCTTGGTGTCTTGTTGCTTAAAGTAGAAGCTACGATGATCAAGTGACTTGTGATAGTTCTTGGCATATATATCAGCCCAAACTTTATTAAAATCCGAACGACACCTTGCCCACTCTTCTTGCTTTTGCTTCAAACGGGTCAATATGACAGGCAAAGCTAGTGGAGCATTTTTCCTCAACACGTCCATCACATCAAGCCCATGGTCACCATATAATCGCTCAATGCACCTTAGGTTCAGAGCTAGAAAAGAAGAGAAAAGGGAAAAGTCCCGTCAAAAATATATCCCCAAGAAAATGAAAATCAACAACTGAGCTTATATCACATAACCAGGTATCTTCAATTCAGTCATTAAAAGAATATAACCTGTGAAGTGATCTTCAATACGAATTGGACTGTCCATCTTAATCGTATTGTTGTTGATCTTTTCTAATAGATCTTCCACGCGCTTGGTTGTTACGTTCACTGACTCCAACAACATATCCAGTTCAAACCTAAGAAATATAAGAAGATGAATTACCAAGTGCCAAAATCAATAAAGCCAATGGCTGGAAATATTTACAAGCAATTAGTAGTGTAATGAAGGGCAAAATGTCGAAATAAACAGCATGACACATATCTTTCCCTCTCGAAAGAGAGATGCCAAAAAAACCCCTAGGTTTCCTTATTTGTAAATGAGCATACCAAAGTGCTAAAATGGCAACATGAACCTTGATGACAATGAATACAATTTTGAGGGAGGTGGGAAGGGAACAACCACCTTGAGTCAATGTTGCTATAAAACAAATAAATAATGGGAAAACCATAGTAGATACTGAAAAATCTTCAACCAACCTGTCATCCTCACACCGAAACAGGCTTTCTTCATACTGGTTTTTGCGCATGTGTTTAAAAGAGTAATCCTCACTTCCAGAAGTAACGGATACCCAGTGGTCATTTAATACTTCAAAACCAAGCTCTGTTCTTTGGCTAGCAGAAGGTATTGGATACTGCAAGACATGAAAATAAAAATAGAAATATCAGTAAAAGCATCAATACCTCCTTAAAAGGGAAAAATAGATAATTGTCTAAGAAAGCACCACATACATTCTTTGGCAGGAGACGATAGCTCGGAGTGCAGCGCTCACAATTGGAGAGGTCAAGCTCATTAATGGGTTTTGCCAAATATTTATCCTTGCTGGTATATAAACTCTTCTGGCCTCCACCTTCTTTGATTCCAAAGGCACCATTTTTATCAAGTCTATCTCTTTCTCGAGTTTCATGCTCTCTATCTTTAACCCCATCATCCCTTTCACGATCTCTATCTCTATCCCTATCCCTATCTTCTACCTTCACCGATCTGGGTAAATGTCCTTCATTCCACAAGGATTCTGTGATGAATTAAGAATCAACAGTTGGTTTGCAAGTCTATTGACAAAGGACAAAATATTTATAATAAAAAAAATAAAAAATGAATAAAAACCTACAAATTAACCCTCAGATCAAATTAAAAAATAGAAAGATAAAAAAATGGTTTGTTGAAGCCTGTGCCAGTGCTCGAACTCTTATAATAAACTAAGAGGAGGATCTAGCTTATATGAAACAAAAAAAGGGAACAAATCATGTTACGTACTTTTACTCATCACACCAGCAAGGAACCCATCTGCAGGACAGGACTCAATTAGATAGTGTTAATCACACATATATAGTGTAGGTAAAAGAATAGATTAGATCAATACCTTTCTTCTCACAACATGCCAAAAAATCATTGAACCCATCCATAAGTTCAGGATATCTTCCAATTAAATCAGCCACCTACACAAGCAAAAATCTATATATATTAGAGATTGTGTTCTGTAAATTTCCTTTTAACAGGTAAATAAATTAAAACAGTTTATACAGTTTTACATGTATACGACTTACCAAAGACTGCAATTCAGAGCGTGTAATAATTTCCTTGCTATAAATATGAAGGCACTTCAAAAATTCCTGGTAATCTTCAGGATTTCGTAACTTCTCCTTCACCTTCTCGCAGAAAGCAAACTCCTGGCCGTAAATACCTGCGATGATATAAAATAAGTAAAAGAAGCTACTGGAGGAAGTAGACCAAACAGGCAAATAAAGTGCTCATCTAAAAATAGAAAGTGCAGAGACAACTGACCCTTATCATGCACACACAAACGCACATAGGAACAACCGAACATATCAAATTTTGTTGATAGATAGATTGCTATAACGTATTAAGTTATTAATTACCAGATGAAAACCAACTTTCTTTAATGATTATGTAAATCAGTTCAAAATATCATATAATTCTCACTTTTTGCATAATTTTTATCATCATAAGAGAATGAAATGAGATTCATGGCCTTCCCCACCTGGCTGCAATTGTTCAGTGTCTTCAGTCCTACGAGCAGATTTCTGTTTGTGGGGAAAACGCTGCATATTGAGGTCTCTACTGCCATCATGGTCAAAATCCCTATCATCCCGTTCTCTTCTTTCTCTGTCTTCTCTCCTCTCCTTCTCCTTCTCACCACGCCTCCTTTGCTCTTTGTCTGCTTTCATCAGAGCTTTATCATGGTCAGGATCAGGACGGTCAACACTGAGATCATGGTCAGCATAAGAACCCATGGTCCTTCTTTCTGGCAACAATGCACGTGTATCAGATGTTAGCATCAACAACAATGAGATATCAATATGAAAAAAAATAAGTAATACAAAGGTGTGAGAGAGTGAGAATGGAAAAAAAAACCTTGTCCACGTGCATCTGCCGCATAGTAGGCATTGCAGAGCTCCTATCCCGAAGCATTGAGTTTCTGTGAGGTGGATGAATGGAAGCTGTTCCTGTAGTATCAGGTAAAAAGTGGGTAAACTCCACAAGCAAATCTGAGTGGTCTTGGAAAAGTGCAGCAACCTGCAGAAGTTCAAAGTGAATTCTTTAGAACATGAACTAAATGAACAACATCAAATTAAGCAATAAGGTATCAACACACCTCCTGGTAAACCTCTTGGATGGACTTGTTTTCCTTTCTGTACATATTCAGAATGTCTAAAAAAGATTTATAAACATGGTCGTCGCCTTGAAATCGTGTCTGCGTGTAGAGAATTAATTAGGTTACTAAACTTTAAAGCAACCAGTAACGCCAGATTAAGATACAAAGTAATGTTCCGACCTTAATCTTGTTCACAAAATTGATGGCTTCCTCAAATTCAACAGGCTTCTTTTGAGGAGGTTGTTGGTCATCATCAAGTGGGAGGGTTATTTCATATCCCTTTGGCAAGAAGGTATTGAAACCTAATATTAGCTCTCGATGCCCTTTAAATAAATCTTTCACCCTCTCTATCACACCCGCAGTGTCAATTCTACAATCAACACAACACACAAAAACTCAAGTAAACACAAGCTCGCATAAGCAAATTACCAAGCCATCATCCAGCAAGTAAAGTAAATGTATGGATTTCAGTATAGCATATAACATGATCGAACCTTGTGGCCTTGAAGTCTTTCATGACTTCAAGAAATTCTTCGTATTTTCCCCTGTTTTTGTCTTGAAATATATCCTTCACCGCTTTTAGATACGCTAAGGCATCATTTGTTGTTAACTTTTGGGAAGCTGCTGCTGCTGCTGCCATCATCTGGGGTTGCCCAGAACTTCATTGCAAAAAAAGAAACTTACAATTAGTTAACGTACAAAATTCCCGAACTCTTCAAGTAGATCAATCCCCAGAAAACAACTTTTTCAAGTAAAATTAAACAGCATCCTAAATTTTGTTTTTTGTTAAAGGAAAGATAAGAAAATCCGTATTTCAAATTTAAGTTTCTCCCCAGTCCACACCTGAGGAAGATTGAAACTTTCAGAGATAATTGGTCTGAAAATCGAATCAAAATTTGATCTTTCCTCGGTAAGTCAAGCCAAACCGGTTAATTTCGTAGCCTCTAACTGATAAATAAACATTTAATTTTAGAATTAAAGCACACGCAGTAAATCAACAAGCACGGACTCACCAAATTCGACCAATAATCAACTTAATCTCATAATTAACAAGCATGTACTAGGATAATCAAACACGAAATTTTTTTTTAAAAAATTAATACAAAAACAAAATTAAAACAAATAATGAGAAGAGAATACAAGAGATGAAGAACGTACGGCTCTCCTCGAGCGGAAACTACGGGCCGCTTGAGTTGCGAGCTCATAAAAACGTCGTCCCTGGACCTCTTCATCTCCGTCGTCGTCGCCGCCGCCAACTCTTCCCCTCCTCAGCGACAAATCATGCTTCAAACTGCGATTCAACACCAACTCCCTCATTCAAACACAAGCAACAAGCACAAAGCAGATCTAAAACCAAAAACCAAAAATTCCAAAACAAAACTCGACGAAAAGCTACCTACACAACCAGAATTCCAATCCCGAAGCTCCGAGCAGATCACCTCTCCGACGCCAAAATCCTAACCACAAAACAAAACCACAGAGTTAGTAACATTTACTTGAAGGCAAAGCAATGCTCAGACAAAATTTCTCAAATTTTCCCGAGAAAATCAGGAAACGAAGATTACGAAGAGATCGTCGAGTCGTCGAACAGCCGAAGTCTTCTTCCAATACAAGCTTTTCTTCCAACTCCGAACAAAAAACGCAGAGGAAACGTATCGCTGCGGAGATTGTTGTGATTCTCTGAAGCCGCAGCGAGGGAAGACGAAGCCAGATTACAAAACTTTTCACCTTACGTTTTTATTTTCTTTTTTATCTTTCTCGAGAAACAAACAGAAAAACAGAGAGAAAAAAGAGAGAGGGAGAGAAGGAGGAGTTTAAGAAAATGTGGTTTATATAATATAGGGATATAAACGCCACTCTCTTCCTACAGTGACAATGAAAAAATTGGGGTTAATTTTCCGGTCACGTTAGGGATGGTTTACCGGCTGTGGGCGGTTAATTAGGGATTTTGTCTCGATTAGGAGGTGATTAACTACTCAAAAGCATGGATTAATCACAAAGGATGGTGGCAATTTGGGTGATTAAGTGGAGGTGTTGGGGGTAAATGTGTCCAAGGGATTTTGAATTGTACTTTTTGGCAATTTAGGGTTAGGGCGAAGGACGTGGATTTTAATCTTTTTTTCTTTTTCTTTTTTTCTTTTTAAATTTTTGGGGTTTTGATAGTTTTGATTTATGGGTGCTGCTGGTTTGGTAAGACTCTGGGAGTGGTTGTAGAAAATGAAAGTGGGTTTTAACTAGATCATGATTTTTTGATGATGAAATTGCGTCCAACAAATTAATAATGTAATATAGCTTTGGAATTAATTTTTCGGATTTAGGTTTTATTTATTTTTGCTTAGCCTTGAAATTGTCAGTTTTTATTGTACGTTGTGGGAATATCTCAACGAGTAGTTTCTCAGCGCGCGCTTACGCGCATATCAATTGGTTTATTATCTTTTATTGCTGTTTTTTATTTTAATTTGTTTATATTTTAAGAGTGACAATCGATTAGAATTTTGGTATAAAAGAAATGTGAACTTGTTTTTGCCATTTCACCATCTTTAAATCTGATGGATTCTCCTTCTCATGGTATTTTAGCTAAGTGAGGACATTACCATTAGGGTTTTTTACCATATATATTCATTAGAGTGAATGTATTTCTCCCTACTAATTTTCCGCAGTTTAAATTGGTTTAAAATAAATTATCGTCGGTGTTAATAAGATATATGGCTGAGATGGGCTGGGCTGAGTTCTTGGAGTGCTTCGGTTTTAAGCAGAAAGTATGGCATCCAAACAGGGTCCTAGGATCCAAGTAGAACTCAACTATGTAGTTGACCGTTGGCATGTGAAGTAAGATTTGCTGTCTTGATCCAATTTTTTATGAAACAAAAAATCTGACATTGAATAGAAGGCCTCAAGTGGGCAATTGGATAAAGCCCAACAAGAAAGTCATGGATTGACCAAGAAGTCCAATGGACTCTGATTCCTCTGCAAGGCTCTCACCATCTTTTGGATCTTGCGTGATAAGGAAATGCGTGAGCCCTTCCTTTATAAAGCATGTAGAGCTATTCACATTTTTTTTTACCTTCTACATACTTTGTTAAATTTTGTCTAGTAATATTCTTCAATTCATTTGATCCGACGACTAAAAATTAAAATAGGTGTATAAAAGATGAAAATGGATATTTGGATACAATTTCGGTTGAAGAAATCGAACCGGAACTAAAATTTTGGTCGATAGTAGCATATTTAGGCGACTTAGTTAGCTTGTTTTCTTACATTTATATTGTTAGTTCATAGTTATTTTAGTATTTTGAGCTATTTTCGTGTGTTTATAGGTTCATTTGGCTAAGGTAGCAAGAACGTGCATTTTGAGTAGGATTCCTATTCAAAGAAGGATTCCTAATCAAAGAAGGATTCCTAATCAAATGAGGATTCCTAATCAAATGATGATTCCTAGTCAAAAAAGGTTTCCTACTTGAAGTAGGAAAGTTAAGCAAAGGTTTCCTATTTTGGTTTGACCTTTCCTAATCCTAAAAGCCCTATGTTCCAGCAACATTGAAGGACTCTTATGCATTTTAGGACACAAATTAAGCCTTCCTTGCAACCTAATTGCCCTTGCCGTGCATTCCATAGACTTCCCCTTCCTTGCCGTGCAAGGGAAATGCATATTTCTTATTTTGTGTCACAATATTACATTCCTCTTTCACCCCATTCTCAGCCGCACCTTACATACCTATTCTATCCTAAATCCTTGCCTAATTTCAGCCTTAAAACATTTTCCTTTTTTTACAATTTAATGCCGCAAGTTTCTTTCCCTTTCTCTTAGGATTTATGACTTTATGTCTCATTTTCCTTGTGGATTTGGGGTCTAATCATTTCCTAAACTATGTAATAAAAGTTAGGATTCTTTCATTCGAATAAATACCCAATGACGAACCCTTAGAGGACCTTAATCATTCACCCACACAATCAGCCATCATTCACAAAACACTTAAGCCTTTGCCACAGCTTTCAACCTTTCTTCCACCATTCACACACTTCCATACCTTTACCCAAACACCCATACATCACCCCTAACCTTTGCCACACCACCCTACCAACCTAAATCCATTCATAACCCATAAATCCATCCAAAATCACCCCTAGACTCTTGTGTCGAAGCTTTGCAAGGAAGAATAAGAGAATAATAAGCCTTGGACGTTTGTGCATTCAAGTTGGAGTGTTGGAATGTTTTTAGGTGTAATCTATCTTTTGTTTTCAATGTTTAATTCAAGTCTTCGTTGTTTTATTGTGAACATGAGAGGCTAAACTCGTTTTAGCTAGGGGAGGCTTTGAAACCATGATTATGTTTATGATATGAATTGACTAATTCCAATTGTGATTTCATAAATTGTGAATGCAATTTACTTAACCGTTTGATGGATAACTTATTCTTGTCTGTTGATTAGGGAGGCCTACTTAATTTGCATGCTTGAATTTGGTGCTAGAATATAAGGGAGTTTCACATAATCGTCACAAACTTTTATTCACAAGTAGTTAAGGTTTTTTTCACAATCATGTTAAGTAAATTCCTAGCATGAGTATCATGATGTCATAGTTACAAGTGCTTTGTCAATACTTATGATTTTCATTGAACGTAATGATCTTTGATTGTATCTCTATTTTGATGTCATGTAGGGAACTTTTGAAGAATGCTTTGGGTTGTCGTATGATGTCATCCAATCCAATAACTAAAGGAAAATTTGAGGGTTAATTAGTGATGTCACAGTTAATCTGGGGTGTTGAGGTTCATGGTTTATCGAAAAAGCGACTGGAAATCAATTTGTGTTTGAATGTATCATGTGTGGAAAAGTATCCTCTAGCTATCTAATCATCCATTGTTTTTCTCAAATTCGTCCAAATTTCATTTAAGTCTTTTAAGTACTTGTTTTTACATTAATTTCGTCCAAAACCCAATCCTCTTTACTTACTTGTTTCAAATCTGTCCTATTGAGTGTTTTTGAGTATTTTGAGTCAAAACCAATTCTATTTTCGTCCAAATTGAGTCCTAGAGTCTAGTTTGAGTCTTTTTGATTGGTTTGTGTTGTTTTGAGTTTTTAAAGTTTGTTTTGAGTCATATAAGTTTAGTTAAGAGTCTTTTGAGTTTGTTTAAGTGTTTTGAAACATATTTTTATATCTTTGAGTCAATTTTCATTAGATTAGCAATCCCTCCTAATCCCTGGTCTAGAACGATTCCTACTTATATCTTTACTACAATTGTCAAAAAGAGAATTTAATTTGAGTGCTATTATTTATTACATCATTGGTACAATTTCGCTTTTAGATTCCAGAAACTAAACCAAACCGAACTGAATAAGTATAAATTAATATATTTTTTATTTATTTAAGTTCGCTTTGATTTTTTGTTTATTTAACTGAAATAAAACCGAATCAATTTGGTTTGATTTTCGGTTTTCGCAAAAATTGTTGTTTTGAATACCGAATCCGGATACAAGTTCACATTTTGTCTGTCCGAGTCCGGTAGTATTTGGGCTTTACGGCTGCATGAACATTAAGATAGTAAAGAAGCCTAGCCCATCTTTACAGCTTTATGGCATATGGAAAAAGTCCAACGAGTATACATGGACATCAAATTCGCATTTGACATAATTGAACTTAAAAATCTCTTATTTATTTATAGTAAAGAATGTTTGCTGGATAAGACATGAACCCAAAAACAGTGGATGCTTGTCGTTGTGTTGCAGCCACCACGTGGAATTATTGAATTTCCATGGTACACAGATTCCGAACATGAAGCGTGATACGTAACTAGTATAGTTGGTACACGCAGAAGACGAACTCATCAGGTCCCACAATATTGGCCAGTGGGGCACTGTCCTCCAACTCTAGGACAGATCCATTACATAGCCCTAATCAGTTAGATTTTTAATCATATTGGGCACTGCCCTACAACTCTAGGACATATTCATTACATAGCCCTAATCATGCATATTGTTAGATTCTTAGTCATATTGGGCCCTGCCCTACAACTGTAGGACAGATTCATTACATAGCCCTAATCATACATATTGTTAGATTCTTAATCATTAGGGAAGACCTAAACTCCCTTGCATAGCTTTCGCCTACGTGAAGTCATAAATTTATGTTTGATACAATTATTTGATGAAGTGTGTATTGCTGTTGCTGGCCAGCGTGTGAAATCAACGGCCAATGTTTTTATATTTGATTCGGCTGAGCCCTTTTGTTTTGCATATGTTAAAAGATTGAACAAACTATAAATTAAGTTATTCGATTAAAGAAAAATGAGCAACAGACACAGACCAAGTGTAGTTATTAATTAGCTCATGTAAAAAATGTGTCAAAAAGTTAAAACGTGTGCCAAAAAGTAAAAAATAAGTAATATTTTTATTAAAAAATTTACTTGTTATCACGCTTTTAACAATAGCTATCTTGTTTCACGATGACACTATTGTATCTAGCTTCTTGAACCACCACTAGTATCCATCTTTGGACAACCATATGGCGCCCAGAGAAACCATTCCCTTATATATACGAGCAGATGCTTTGTGTGAACAGTTTTATTTCATTTTTTTATTATTATGAAGTGTGATTAGTTTTTAAAATTAAAAAAAAAATCAGTTATGAAAATTGGGATAATGATGAGCAGTTTTCTTTATCAATTTTCAAATAGAGCACGTTATACTAACATGGTTGTGAGGTTGTTATAAAAAACTGTAAAATTTATGTTCATGTAA